AGACAGAGCTCTTTGTTTTTGTGGCTCGCGAGGGATGTCAACCCAGGCCTTCACCTGTCCTTGGCCAACTTCAACTGATTCCTTCGCTACAGCCCTTTTTATTGTCAGCAAGCAATCATTCATTAATATGCAATTACAAATACACGTGACAGTCTTAAGCAGGCATATCTGAGCAACATCAGTGTCTGTATTCTGTGTGTGTGTGTGTGTGTGTGTGTTTTCAGTCATTCCATACATAGACATACAACCGTTCAATGAACTTAAACTGTGTGTATGAGGTATGCAGAAAAGCAGAAGTAAGCGTCTTGCTAAACTATAAAAACAGGAACTTGCAATAGGTCATATCTCAAATGAACATCTAAAGGTGTGAAGTCTTGGACTTCAAAAGAAACAGAACATGGTGCTTTTCAAATGTATAGCATAGCTCATCTCTGGACTAAGCTGCACTCTAAATAAAGAAAGCACATTTTGTCAGCACAGACGCAGATAAAGTAAATGTTAGAAGGTTGAAAATAAATCCTCTGACTGGCTGGCCTTTTCTTCATATTGATAGCCATATTAGGACACATAAAGGCAATGATTATATATCTATATATTTTAGCACAAAGGACAATATAAAAAAAATATCAATTCCAACAGTGTCTTTACTTGGTCTTTTATTTAAATTGTGTGGTTCTCAAGGTGTGATGTAATGGATATAAAAGCAAAACTATATTCTACTGAGTTGGAAAAGGCCTCTGGGTTACTTCATTCAAGTTCTGCTGGTGGGAAGCTCCAGATGCCACACCTGAGACTTTGGAGGCAGTTGGTAAAACAACAGCAGACTTTTTTTTAATGTTGAGAGCTACTGATTTCAAATTGTTCTTCTCAAAACACTGATGTGTCATGTGTACCAAACTGAATTTAATAGTAGTTCGATAAAGGAAGCGATGGAAATAATGGTTGCAAGCAAAAGTGGGAAAGGAATCTGTTGGATTTTTTCTTATTAATGGGTGGATATTTGTAGTTTGTGTCAAAAAAACGAAAAGAATCAGTGATGAAGGCATAGGACTCTACAGATGAAAACCAGAATAACTTTTACATATGACAATGGGCATAATTTGTGGTGTCCATTATACGAACAACAAATCACAGCTGAACAAGTGTAAAGAAACCTTAAAACCTTCAATGGATATCAGTTCTTCACACATATTCCATCTAATAGAGAAGTTAGATAACATTTAAAGACCATTGTGTTCTGAGGTGAGCAAGCAAGAAGACAAACACACAAAGCCAGGAAGAAAATAAAGAAAGGAATTGCTGGAGCTATGTCTAGGGGCTCCACCCCAACAGCTGATGTCTCCAAACACTACATCAAGTGTCAGCTTCACTCTGCACATATGCCGCACTCCGGCAGCTGGGCTGTAGTCAACATGAATGCAAACAAAAGACCAACGCAGTGACAACAGTAGTGATGATTAAATTCATTAGGGAAATGTCTCCCTGTAATGCATGGAAATTTGAGGTGAAGTAAGCACATGAAAATGCCCTGCAGCTGCACTCTCTTCCTGAGTGCTACTTTTCTGTATATTCATTATTTTAGCAGAGATCAAACGTATCTGACTGCCTTTACACTCCTCCCAGCTTCAAGCTTAGATCCTTTTCTTTATTTCCTCAGCATTCTGTGCATCCATACATCTTTCTGCTGGTGAAGGTGATTGAAGAAGCCATGAGGGAGAGTTTTCTTCACATAGCAGACGAGATGCCACAGAGGGTTTAAGGCTAAATCCCAAGTTATTTTCCACTTAATTTTTGAACTGCTATCGCCCTCCATGAAAGCTATTCCACAGACGCTAACAGGAATTGATCCCCTCTCTATTATTTCCCTGTGCCTTGCTTAATAAAAAAGTCCTCTAGTTGTCATTCCTCCTACATCTCTCTCATAATTTCCTTCACAAAACAACAACTTTCTAACGTTCTCTGTGAGGCTTCTGTGCACGTTGAGCTTCTCCCCACGGTAAAGCTGCCCTACTTCTGAGTGCGTCCTAAGCATCCATCTGCCATACTCGTAAATTGTGTTTCCCTGCGATTGCAGGTTATCTCATCTGTCAAAGCAGGCCTATCAATTTCACCAAGCAGTCTCGACAGAAGGCATTAGCCCTCCAGCGTCATTCTGGCATCAAGCATTGACAGACAATAAATGCTAGTGATATCAACATATCAGATGAGCACTGCTGACAGTTCCGTTGGGACTGTTAGCAATGAGCAGCTAAAGACACAAAAGCAATTCATGCTTTTGTTGTTTTCTGGCTACAAAGGCATGTATATCAGTTAAAGGAAGGTAAAAAAAAAAAGCTTCAAATTGCTAAACTTAAAGCAATAATTGAATGCAAACAGCTATGCGCCTTGTGCTGCATGTTAGCTGATAGCCAAGCGTTAACAACACTGAAGGAATAATTTGAATTAAAGTTTTAAGATTAATGCCTTACAAATCCAGGATTCTACAGTTTCCAAAAAGGAATTCTAACACCTTTAGCAGAAACATTCCCATGTGTTTCAAACGCCGGGCCCTCTTCTGTAACACAGTTGCTCAACACTACACACTCAGCACACCCAGTCTAAACCAAAAAAAGAACTAGTGACATCACAATTCCTGTAATGACATCATTCTTCACGAGCCACACGAGAAAGCGTGTAACTACTGAGGCCAAGTAGAGCCATTCACACACAGACGCATTCAGGGTTAGAGCATCACATGAGTGTTTTCTGTTCCTTAAAGTGGGCGGGGCTTGGTTTGCAGTAGATAATTTATTCCTGAATTAGAATCTACCAGTGTTTAAATCAGAATCTATTCCTCTTTGTTTATTGTTACTGTCAGTGCAAACTGATTTAACCATGATTCATCCACACACATAAAGAATGTAAATTTCTGTTTTGAGTGTCATTGTACAGTAACTTTGACAAGGCATAGAGAAGTTTGTTTATTTGATATTGTCTTGTTTTTTTCATTGTCATTTAGTATAAAGTACCAAATGACAATGAAAACACTATGACAACATAAATGAGGGCACTTGTTCAATGACCTCAATAGAGAATAGCAAACATAGCATTGAGACAGACATTCCTCTTGAGAGCCAGTGAATGATGGTGAGCAAGTCCAGGGGTATATCAGACAAACAGACTTCAAGTGAATAATATGCGCCTCCATAGGTTTTTGGTTTATAAAGAGTTATGACTTAGATATCAAATGAAATAATAGCTTCTGCCTATTATTTAGGATTCATTTCAAGTATGCACAGGGATTGCTTTTGATTTGAAAGGCTCTCTCTTCACCAGAGCAATCTTGATTTTTTTTTTTTTTTTTTTTTTTTAAATTAAGCCAATGATTACATTGTGAGATAGTGATTTTCATAACCATCCATTTTCAGAACAATTTGATGTCCAAACATCACCTCTATGCCACCACCAATACTAAATAAACAATCATAATAGATAGCTTTTCCAAATACTATTCTCTTTATCTAAACACAAGCACCTGGACAGTGCAATGACTGAAAAATGGTCATATTAGTCCTACATAAGCTAGTCCTGCTCCATTCAGACACATTGCACATTTGGACAATGAGATGGACTGTAATAAATTAGGCCTACGTGGCTCTGGGAATAAACAGGGTGTGGCGCACCTGTCAATGAGTCACTTTGCATCAGAATATTGCTTGTTTTTGTTGATGTTTTCTGAGTAAAGGCTGTTGTGTCTCTACAGCAGATGATTTCCTTTTGTTGTATTTTATTATTGTTATTTTCTTTTTACAGAAACTTCCTCACTCTGTGTGCTGGAAAGAAATTCTCCATGGTGAGGACAGTCTGGGTTGGGGCGCAGCCATCGATGTCGATAAAATATCAGTATAAATCCCTCTGTGGAAAGGAAACGCTCCCTCCGGGCGCAGTTTGACTGCGCTGTCCGCGGTGCTGAAAAGACTTCAGCGGCCGCGGAACAGGTTCCAACTCCGGACACGGAGTTCGTACTCCGTCCCCGCAACTGCCAAGTAATCCACAAGAGGGTGGTGATTACAGTGGGTGGTGGCGTTGGAGCCTCATGGCGGCCATCCCTTAACCACACACACACACTCCCGCATTTGCGCACCTGCCAAACTAATATTTTTATTGGCGATAACCAGCACATATCGGACATGCGATTAAAACCTTATTTTATTCTCTCTCTCTCTCTCTCTCTCTCTCTCTCACACACACACACACA